CCACGGCGCCAACCACCACCCCGGGCCCGGGGCATGGCGCGGCGCGGCGGGCGCGGCGCACCTCGCGCCCTCCATGGGCGCCTCCAACGGCGGCTTGCTCTACTCGCAGCCCGGCTTCACGGTGAACGGCATGCTGGGCGCGGGCGCGCAGCCGGCCGGGCTGCACCACCACGGCCTGCGGGACGCGCACGACGAGCCGCACCGCGCCGAGCACCACGCGCACCCGCACCCCCACCCGCCCCCGCCGCCGCCCCCGGCCGCCCCCGGCCCGCCGGGCCACCCGGGCGCGCACCACGACCCGCACTCGGACGAGGACACGCCGACCTCGGACGACCTGGAGCAGTTCGCCAAGCAGTTCAAGCAGCGGCGCATCAAACTGGGATTTACCCAAGCGGACGTGGGGCTGGCCCTGGGCACGCTCTACGGCAACGTCTTCTCGCAGACCACCATCTGCAGGTTCGAGGCCCTGCAGCTGAGCTTCAAGAACATGTGCAAGCTCAAGCCTTTGTTGAACAAGTGGTTGGAGGAGGCGGACTCGTCCTCCGGCAGCCCCACCAGCATAGACAAGATCGCGGCGCAGGGGCGCAAGCGGAAAAAGCGGACCTCCATCGAGGTGAGCGTCAAGGGGGCTCTGGAGAGCCACTTCCTCAAATGCCCCAAGCCCTCGGCCCAGGAGATCACCTCCCTCGCGGACAGCCTGCAGCTGGAGAAGGAGGTGGTGAGAGTTTGGTTTTGTAACAGGAGACAGAAAGAGAAAAGGATGACCCCTCCCGGAGGGACTCTGCCGGGCGCCGAGGATGTGTACGGGGGGAGCAGGGACACGCCGCCTCACCACGGGGTGCAGACTCCGGTCCAGTGAACTCCGGGGGGAGGGGCAGAGCGCGGGGCTCCCCTCCCCTCCGCTCCGCGGTCCTTCCTCGGACCTCTGTCCCCCCTCTAACTTCTGATTGTTTTTTTTTTTTTTCTTTTTCTTTTTCTTCTTTTTTAATTATTATTTTCCCGGTCCCTTAAAAAAAAGGAGAAAAAAATAGAGAAAACAAGGAAAAGGAAAGGAACTAAAACACTGGACTACCTTATCACAGGTAGCAGGTGTGACGATGGGTTTGGACCTGTGTAGGCCGAGTCCCCAGGCGATGGAGTAGAATGTCTCCGTGTGTGTGTGTGTGTGTGTGTGTGTGTGTGTGTGTGTGTGTATGTGAGAGAGAGAGAGAGAGAGAGAGAGAGAGAGAGAGAGAGCAGTCCTGGCAAAACTAAATAAATTACCAAAAAAAAAAAAAATCCACCAAACCGTTCAAAACACAAAACTGCAGCTTCCCAATGTTCAAAGTTGACACGTGCTGCTGTTTATTTAATGTGGGTCCCCATCAGCAAAGAGGGAAAATACACTTTTTTAAATATATATATATATATATATATATATATATATTTAAAAAATATATATATAGGCAAATTTTAACCACACAAATTTGCACTGCAAGAAAATTGAAGTTTACATTAACAAGTTCTACATTTTTTTCTCTTATTACCCATTGTTAATTTTGAGGCTGTCCTTTTGGGTTCTGTTTTGCTTTGCCTTATTCAGCGGACAGGGCAGAAGCCAGCTCCTGGCTACCCTCCATTTCTAGTGTTCTGATGCCCTTGTTCTTCCTGCTTGTGAACTTTGCTTTCTTCAAATCCTCCAGACCCGGTGTAACATTTATTGGCTCTTTTCACCAAAGCAAAAGGATTGGCTTTATACAAAATAAATAAACGTTTGCATTCAGGAAATGTGTATGGTTTGCCCGCGTTATGCAAGGCAGGAATGCTGTTTGGAATACAAAGATCAGAGTTGAGCATTGGTGTTCGTGAACCACAGAGTAAACTTCACCTTCAGGCAGCATTTATGGGTAAGGAGGCAAAACAAAAATCGATACTGAGTGACCAGTCACTTCATTTTATCCGGCAGGGCTGTTGTGAAAGCTGGGAAGAAATGCGAGGTTAAATACATTGCTGTAGAGTTTCTGTCCAACAGAAAGAAGCTGGGAATTCAGGGGGGCTGGGACGCCCCTGAGTAGCTTTCTGCCTTTGGATTTAATAACTTAATTATAAGGGATTAGTTGTGGTGACAGCAGCGGTTAAACTTTGTTCCTCTAGCAGGTCTTCTTTTTAAGGTAAAGAAGATAACCCAGAAACTTGACCACATGCGGAGACTGTTTCTTAGCACACCAGTGCACACCATGCAGGCATCTACCTTAGACAGACAGGTTTGTCTTCAACAGTCTGTTTATCAGGTCATGTTTGGGGTCTTACATCATCTTCCCCATAATTTATTACAGAAAAATATCTGTTCAGCTTGGACAGAGTTCTCACCCCTCTTTCATTAAAAAAGACAAATGAAGGGAGAGGAGACATTTTCAGTATTTCCTTTCTCCCCCTTTGTTAATAAATTTTCAGTGCATTTTTTTAAACCTTGTCTCGATGGGAAATGGCTTTCTCCCAACACAATAGAATATTCTGGAAGGTGTAGGTAAGAAAACAAAAACAAAACAAAGCATATAACTATTAACACCATTAAACTGTGATCAACTAAAAAAAATGAATCGTTATCAGCACAAAAGGGCGCTAAAAGGGAAAACACTTTTTTTTATTAACCTTAAGTGTTTAGGGGTTTGTTTCTTTGTTAGCTATTAGATAAATGGTTATGTTAAAATTAAATTTTCACCACCATAATATTATGGTTCAGCATCAGATTAGTACTGCACTCGGCAGTTACGGTGTTAGGAAATGTGCTTTATCCAGTATTGTTTTTCCAAATATCTGTACTTGTTTCATTTCCAATGCTTTTGCAAGATAAATGGTTACTTATAATGGGCATATTTATTTGCCTGTATTTCATCTCCCCCAATGAATGTCACCGGAGATGGCATAGAGCTATTTCAGGTTATATCACACTGTTTGTTCCTGATGTGTGGGCACTGGCCTTCGATGAAGCAGCCCAGAGCAGGGCAAATAGCCAATGGTAAAAGGAGGAAATGAATTTGCAGATACTTATTACCAAGTAGGTAAGGTCAGAAGCTGGTGTTGTGAGGATGTGTCTACATCTTCTCTTTCTCTCATAGGCTGACAAAAGTGAAAGTTGTCACTGAACCTTACCATATGTATATATGTTTAATATCTGTCTTTTGACATGCAGAAATAGTTTCAATGTTTCTTTGTCTATTTTTCTTTCTTTCTTTCTTTCTTTTTTTTTAATGCTACCCAGGGAAATATTTTCATATCGTTTTACGTGGCCTGCCTCAATGTATATTTATTTCTTTGGAGCAAAAAGGTTCTGAAAACTGGTTTTCTGTAGCTTTAAATGAGTAGGTAGCAAGATCTATATGGGTGTTGTGGTTTTTTTGTTCAATTCCTTTAAAAAATGCTTTGTTTGGTACATTTGGTTGTGCTTGTGGGGAAAATAAAAGCGCAGAGATCCTTATATATTTATGTTAAAGTAATATTTTATTATTACATAAAACAGAAATGCACAATACCTTCATAGTTTGTTCTAATTATTGAAATATCTTTATTTTATTCTTAAAGATAGTGCCAAGTTCTAAGAGGTGAAGAAGCCCTACCTAGACCTTATGATGACTGAGCTTAGTTGTGTATAAAAATACTTCCCTTCCTTTATACTTCATAAAGTTTTGGAATAAATTTTATGCATATATTGCCAGCTTTCATGTTTATAGCTCCCGAAGGTATTTTCTTATTTGTTTGTTTGTTTGTTTGTTTTTATTTTAAATGAAGACTACTGTTCAGACTTTTCTTTGCAGAAAGTATCATGGGCCCCAAATATTTTCTTCACTGCCTTGCAGCATTAAATCAAAGCAGTCATTGGGTTTCAGCTTCAATTTGTTTGCCATTTCCTGAGCCAAATATATATATATATATATATATATATATATATATATATATATATAT